TTACGTACTATACGTTCGTACGTATACTAACGTACGTTAACGTACTACTACGTACTACTATAGTATATATATATATATATGTGTGTGTGTGTGTGTGTGTGTGTGGTGTGTGTGTGTGTGTGTATGTATCTGTGTACATGCATGTATGCGTATCTGTATACCTCCGTGTATGTATATTTCTATACTCCTTTAGCACACCACTGTCTTGGTCGTTGGGTACTTGTTGCACTTAGCCTGCAGATTCTGCTTGAGGGTCTCATTCCTCGGCATCAGAGTGCGGCTAACCACCGCATGTCCCTCAGGCACCTCTAAGTCAGCCACACTCGCCTCCGGTGCAAAGCACAGTACAGTTGCCACATGCTGGTCTCCTCTACTATCCGCTACCACGCCCATGCACAGAGGTTCGGTACTACTCATGCGATAGCCCCATAGAGAGTACGGGGTATCGGGGGTCACGCCTGTTTCAGGATCTGTGGCAAATTGGACCGAGGCTATTTTTAGGCCAAGCGACGAGTCGGGATCGGTTTCGGCGCAGTTGTAGATCTTCACGGGCGTGCCTAGGAACGAAGCGTCGTCACCCAGATCTACACACTGGGAGTAGTCCCAATGAAACGTTAGACAAAAATAGATTAGAGTAGTTGGATAAAAATAGATTAAGAGTAGTTGGATAAAATCATACACATTGGATAAAAATGTATTGGTGTAGTTCGGATCCATGTAAATCAGATCAATTAATGTGTTGTTGTCGGTGTACTCCAATACAATCATGCACACACACGCACACGCCCCATTCTACCAACACCTGCCACACACACACACACATACCCAATTCCTGTGTCCGAAGCGCACCCAACTTCCCGACAGTTCCACATTCATCTTGACCGTAAACGGCGAGCACTTGCCCTCACTCTGCGTCTGGCCCTTCGGGGCCACACAGGTCCCACTATCCGACCCGTCCAGGTGCAGCACAGTCAGGACCTGGGGCTGCCCTACCCAGCACTCATCCCGGGTGTACTCCAACACCCCATCCGTACACCCCCCAGTGGGCACCCAGGCCCCACAGGCACACACCTCACAGGGCTGGGTGGTACACGCCTTGCTGTCTGTCTGCCGCCGGGTGTAGATAGTTACCCCCTGTGAGCCACTGCCTTGGCTTAGCACACATTCCTTGTTTGCCTCACACGTGCGCACGCGTTCCTGCGTACCTACTCGCCCGGTGCCACACTCTCCATTGCACGTGGTCCATGCACTCCAACTGCTCCAGGTACCTACCACCTGCTCTGGTGGCCGCGCGGGTTGCGGCCGCCGGGGAGGGCGGGGTGGACTATCGAACGCACTCTGAAGAGTTGAGTTGAGATGAGATGAGATGGGGTGGGGTGGGGTGATGAGATGGTATGAGCGGAGGAAGGTGCTTGGGGAGGGTAGGGATAGAGCAGGGTGTGGGGTTTGTGCAGACGCGTAAATTCGTGTATGATAGTTAAACAGTATACCGGTGGAGAAGTGTGGCTTGGCACGATGGTTCAAAGGAGAATTAGAACGCTCTGTTGCAACTCAAGTAAACTTAACATCATAAATAAACATATTGCAGCAATACGACGATGTACCGAACTGTTCTTAAGTATTATACAACATACCTGCTTTGCATGCCTACGTTGAGATCACAGGCCCCCCACTCCGACCAAGAGCCATACAATCCATCGCGCGCTCTGTCATGTCATTGCACACGTATGTGGTGGGAAACTTCGATTTAGGGTGTTAGGTATTGACTGTTTTTTTAACTTAATTTGTTATTTGTACACGTACAGGTTAAGGACAGCCTTTCGTTTAAGACCAGTGGAAGAGGTTGTAGAGCGTTGCGTGAGAACGCGTTCAGTTCACCTTATTCTCAAGCGGCAGCACTTCGCATCTGATTTCAATACGCGTTTCACCAAAACGTTTAATACCAAAACCTGTTGTAGGATTTTATGGTTTTGTTGAAAAAAAAGAACGAGTCTGTGTGCACACACAGTTACATCGAAACAGACTCACTTCACATGCGGTACCACTTCGCATGCGGTAGTCCACTTTACAAGCACATTACATACAGATCCTGGAAAATGCTGTGTAGGTCTCGCAGCGCAGACTGGGCCTCGTACAGAGATTCCGGGTGCGTTCCCTGGTAGTCTACGCCGTAGTCCAGTGCTTCAGCAGCACAGCCTGAGTATCGTACTGAGCCAAAGTCGAGCGGATTAAAGCCCAGGCCGCGGTCAGTGGTGCATACGCCGTGGACGCTGGGGTTGTGCACAAAATGAGACCAGGATTCATATCTGGATTAAACGAAG